ATGACAAAGAGTATTTGCTTATTATTTACGATAGTTCAAGCATTAGGTGTATATTTATGTTCATGTTTGACATATTCCTCATACCAAATTTTCTAACTTTCAGTTCTCCATTATAAATTAAAATTAAAATTAAAACATTGAATTAAATTGTAAGATGAGCATTAATTTTACGACGAAATTTAAGATATTTATGTTGACAAAACAAAAGAGAATTAACAGTAGTTTTTTTCTTCTTTTTTTTTTTTGTTATATTTTGTGGTGGGGTCCCACCTGTTGATGGAACCTGAGAAAAAAAGAAAAAAAATGAAGTGACCGGGTGAGCACCGACACGTGCCGATTCCCGCCGACCCACCCAACAGACCCCGGATTGTTGGTTGACTTATATGTTTGAGGAAATCGTTTCATATTAGTTGTCTATGTAATTAAAATTATTATTAAAAATATTTTTAAAAAGGTAAAAATTAATAAAATATTGTTTTTATTTAAGATTTTTTTTTAAAAAAAAGTGAAAATATAAACAGTTAATATGAGACAAAAAAAAATAGTACGTAAAATTGATATTATAGGGTTGGGTTTTTAAAAAAAATAGATTCGTAATGAAGTAAGTTTATTTTCGCTCGATATATACTAAACTTTCTTAATCTTCGATTTGAACTGTACGAGGCAAAAACTCGTTCCGAGAGAAAAAAAAACTTATTTTTTTTTGAAAATTAAGTCCTTTGCCGAAAGCTTGTGATTACGTGGATATTCTAATCCCACGCCTCTCTCATTCAGCTTCCCCCAATCATTGTCCTCTTCGACTCAATTATATTTACCAACTTCAAATTTTATTTTTTTTTATTTTAGAGTTTTTTTAAAAAAAAAAGATATTACTCTCTTTAGTTTTTATTTATTTGTAGGGTTTTACTTTATTATAGAGTTAAAAATAAACAAATAAGACTATTTGAGGCTTCAATTAAGGGTAATGTACAGTTTGTACTAAATTTATTCTAAAGATATTAAATGTATTACGTAAAAATAAATAAGATCAGAGAAATATAAAAAGAAGGAGAAAAGGGACATTTTTTTTATAAAATCCGATTAAAAAGAAAAATAACATAAACAAATTAAATAAAAAAAGATACGTTTTTCGTTATATCATCTGAAAAACACAAGAAAATCAAAAGAAAAAAAATGTGAAGATCAACTGTTATGTTAATATTTGAGCGAAAAATTGATTAAATATTTAATTTTGTAATGATCCTTACAATTGGCATTTTTGTAAACTTAAAATATTAGTTAATGTACCATCATAAAATCTATTATCAAATATATTTTATTGTCTCTTTTCATAAAACAAAAAAAGAAAAATTAACTAATTAACTCGAATTAAAATCATTAGGAAAACCTCGTACCTACCGTACGTGTATGTATCTATTTGTTTCCTAATGTTTTTGAATTTTAATTTCTCCATGTTGTTTATTTACTTATTTTTAAAAAATTCAATCGCATTAAAAGATGCTTCAAATTTTTCCCTTTTTATATTAACACACGTTTTAATTTTGGAGAGTTAGTGAAATGCACTCACTAGCTTGTCTGTTCATTATTTCAAATGTATAAAAGAATAGTATTTCCTCATTCCAAATTATATGACATAATAATAATTTAACAAATCATCTTGAATAATAATTATAATAAAATAAAATAATAAGCGAAGTATAAAAGAAATCATAGATAATATTCAAATCCAGAAAATAAGAGTATATTATGACTATGTGCAAAAGACATAGAAATTAATAAATTCACATTAAATTTTATTTTATTCGACTCTCAAAAAAATAAATCAAATTACACTATATAAATTAAGATCGAAAAAGTACATAAATAATAAATTGTTTTCCATGGACAAAACAAAAACAAAAATATATGTAGGTACTATATTTTCCTTTTTAAAAAAAATAAAAAAAAATGACGTTTATGTTTATTGTTTAGTCGGTTAAGAGATAAGATTCTAGCTACCATTGCTAATTTAATTAATTAGGGACCTCTATTATTTATTTCCTTTGATGATTATTTAATGAGCTAAATATATTTATTAAGACTCAAAATGCATAAACTTGCTGTCCATTTTCCATAAATATTAATAAAAGTTTACAGTACGACTCCAATGATAGAAGTGAATATGCAGAAGGGACAAACAAAACAACTACATTAAATTAGTTTTTCTTAATTAAAATTTACGTGTGACAAAGAGATGTTATTGATTGATATCGAATTCATTTGAATTCAATACTTTTAATGCAAAGCGTAAGAGTTGATAAATATGAGTATGATAAATACTCTAGATATCATTCATAAATTTAAAATATACAATGAATTTAATATTTATAACAATCTTAATGATTAAGCTCCATAAAGTTCAATTCTTATTTGTATATAGTTTATCACACTGATTGACATATAGTTAGTTGATACTTATTTCTCAAATACTATCATTGCTTTTTAATGACCTGTGGATGAATTGAATTTCAATCTTTATTTCAGCTCAAACAATTTTCGAACAAATCAAGTATTCGCACATATATATACTATCAACTTTATTTATTTTGAACTGTTATATTCAGCACTATATATATCTATTTAACACCTCTACCCCGACTCTTTCGAAATAATAAATAGTGAACAAAGGAAGATAAATACATATAGGATCTATGGAAAACCATGTGGTGAGTGTAATAAGTCAAACATAATTATGGAACAATGAAATTTGAATTTGATCACCTTTGAAACTTTTAGATATTTTTGTTCATTTTCAACAACCAACTGTAATTTGCCACCTCATTGTACGGATTAAATGTTTGAGCAAATGTGTACTCATTGTCTACATACGTGGCACACTCTCATTGGTCTATTTACATAGGAGCACTTCTAAGTTCTAAGTTCTAACCACCCCACTCTTTTTTAATTTAAATGTAATTTTGATTATATGTTGTGATAATTTAGGGTATTTTTATTTTCGTGAGATATTAAACTATGAAAAGTCCATATATGTCTTATTCCTTGAGTTACTTACCAATTTCCATTTGAACTTTGATCTCAAAGAAGAGAAACATGTATTATTTTCTTCCATATTTTCTTTACGCATTTTTATTTTCACTTAAAAATAAATAGTATTTATCTTCTCATCAAAACGAAACGAATAGGAGCTTTTGGATTGAGTATGATTCACTCAATTCCTCCAATTTTGAGTGAGTTAGGCCTATTTGTTTCCATTAAAATTAAAAGGTCTGGATCTGAATACACATCTAAATATTAAGATTTGCATTAAAATCTGAATGTTTTGATCTGAATACACATTTGAATATTAAGATATGGTCTCTAAATATGAACACTGAATAATTAATGTTGTTTGTTTTTGTTGAATGCCTTGAATCGGACCCGTTACAACAGAAAGGACGGGGGTCTATTCTGTAATTCTGTTCTTGCCTCTCCATGATAAAATTGCTCCCCCTCTTTCTGTGGACGTAGCCAATTTATTGGTGAACCACGTAAATCTGTTGTCTTATTTTTCGCGTTTATATTTTCTCGTATTATATCAAATTCCGCATAACAGTTTTCAATATCTGAATGTGAAAGAGAAATTAAACATTATATTAATAAAATATTATAAAAATTTTCATTTCAACCATACATATCACTTTTGATTAAAAGATTTTTTTAAAAAGTTTTAATAATCATGATTTAGAGTACTATTTTTTCATTCAAGAACCTTCTTGAACAACAATACACCAAAAGTATTATTGCAATCACTGTTTTTGACACATTTCAATACAAGAACATTATCAATTAAAGAAAATACTTGAAAGAATTTATGAAAACTTATCAATTCAAGAGGGAAATGATGGTGTTTGATTGAGAAAAAAGAAAGAAAGAAAGTTTTTAGTTATGACAAAAGGCACGCCCAAAGCAAATAAGCGATGACTTATTATTTGAAAACTTATCTAATGAGTTTGAATGTTGTTAAGAGTCTCCTACAGATCTGATTCGTTCATAACTCTTCTGACCCATTAAGAGTTTTTTTTTTAAAAAAACAAATGAACTTAATTGTTGAATCTCAATGATTCAGATTCAGACCTAAAAACCAAACGTATTTAAAGGGCTAAATCTAATTGAGTAAGATTCAAACCTCCATTAAGTGCAAACAAATGAGGCCTTAATGACATGTTCATTCTGAACCACTTAATCAAACACGTTAAAAAGCTATACTGATTTATAATTAGAATTGACAAATAAAAAATTTGTTTAACTTTTTTTTTTGTTTAATAAGCTCTATATAATCATAATAAAACAAATAAAATCACCAAGTAATTAACCCTACGATAAGGAAACAAACAAATTAAACTTAATACTTATTGGATTATGACCCATTATTTAATCTCCTTAAATCCAACTTTTTTCAACTCAAACAATGTTTTGAGTTAGTTCATTATCACCCTAGTAATTTAATTCCTTAAAAATTAGTCTAATTCACTTATTTGACCTCCTTAGAATAAAACAGCGAGAAAGAAAAAGAAAAATAGAAAGGGACAATTACCAAATTAGAATTTTTTTACTGAATTCAAAATTTGAAGAAGTAAAACACATTGACTAGTTGAAAGAGTTCGACATTCAGGGGCGGAGGCAACATACAAGTTAGGATTTCTAATTGGACACCATTCCTCAGAAAAAAAGATACTATATATACAAGTAAAATAATATATAAAATGATTCAATAAGATATTTTTGGAACACCTTAATATATAATAAATTACGTGGATCGAAGCGGGTTCAGATGAATCGAGAACGGAGTGGGGTTTCTTATAGTGGAGGGAACAGAGTTGAAGAAGGTTAGAGTGGAAGCAACGGTAAATTCATTCATTCATTCATAAAAGAAGAAGAAATGCCGCGTGGGTCCAAATAAACCAAACTAAGAATACGACTCTTTTTTTTTTTCATTTCTCTTATATTTATTTATACGACTCATTTTTCCCCTTCTCCTTCTCCCAAAATCTATTTTCCTCTTCTCCATCTTCAATCTCACAATTACTTTGATTTTCTCTTTTTTCTTCTCTCTTACTCCACGCCGCTCGCTCTCTCTCTCTAAACATTATTATATTTGCGATATAGTATTGTTTTTGTTTTGATAAATATTTACGACTTCGAATTCAAATTTAGATACTTTTTTCTGTTTTTATTGAAATTCAGTTTGAGTTGAAGCAGAGAGCGAGCGGCGAGCTGTGAGTGACAATGGCGACACCACCAGAGGAACCAATGGAGTTTGATGATAATACTTTTGAAAGACAACAAAGGAGGCCAGTTTTTGAAGAAGCTTCCATGTCTAATAGGCGTTTCAAAAAAATCAAAAGTCCAGAACGTCAATCCTCTGTTCAACAACCGTTTGATCATCGTAATAATCCGACGCCAATGGCGTTTCCTCCACCTCCGTCATCGTCAAGGCTTGTTTTCCCTTTTGCCTTTGACGGTACGCAGCAGTCCATGGAAAGTTCGTCACCATTGGGAGCGAACGCGATGCCTCTGTTTCATCCACAGCAGCAAAATCAGCAGCAAATGATATCTTTTTCGCCTCAACAGTGTCTTTACCCTCCGTATTTTGCAGGGGAGTTAGGGCCATCGCAGAATCAGCAGCAGATGTTGAGGTATTGGAATGAGACGCTTAATTTAAGTCCGAGAGGAAGAATGATGATGATGAGCAGATTGGGGCAGGATAACAGGGGATATTTTAGGCCTCAACAGGTGCAAGTACAGCCAATTTCCGCTACGAAGCTATACAGAGGAGTGAGGCAGAGACATTGGGGGAAATGGGTAGCTGAAATTCGTCTTCCTCGTAATAGGACTCGTCTTTGGCTTGGTACTTTTGATACAGCTGAAGATGCAGCTATGGCTTATGACCGCGAGGCGTATAAGCTAAGAGGAGACAATGCTAAGCTCAATTTCCCCGAACACTTTATTGGTAAAGACAGAGGAGAGACATCTACAGAGGCTAATTCGTCTTCAATTACTACTCATGAATCTTCCTTGCCTGAACACAATTCTGAAAGTTTACAATTACAGACTGTAAATAACGAACAACTGCCTCCGTCACCGCCCCCACAGCCACCACCAGAAGGTGATAACCATGACGAGGACTCGGGGATAGGATCGAGTCAGGTGACTACTAATTCACAATCATCTGAGTTAGTATGGGGTGATATGGCGGAGGCTTGGTTCAATGCAACTGGTTGGGGTCCAGGTAGCCCAGTTTGGGATGATTTAGACACAAATAACAACCTCATGTTTTCACCTAATCTTCATTTTGGGAATTTCAGTCAACAAGAGCCTCATGATTCTGATCCTCATCAACATCATGACACGAATAGCGATCCATCTTCGCCTTCATGTCCTATGAGGCCGTTCTTTTAGGTTCACCTTCTCTCATACATTCGTCTCGTTAGGATTTAGGTGCACATGGAAACAATCTGTTGCAGAAATGTAGGATAAGACTGTGTACAATAGACCCTTGTGGTCCATCCAGGTCACGTGCTCAAGAGATTTACAACTCCCTTTGGCCATAGGAGATTCTTTTAGATAATCTCCACGGATGAATCCTTCTGGCGATTCCACGTCATCCTCGTTCATCTCTTACTCTCGGGACCTTTCTTCCACTTGAGCCACCATACTTTGTCATTTCTGCAAAATGGCTGCATATTTAAAGCCTTTTCTTGCAGTGACAATGTTTACTAGTACTTCATACAAATGTATCACATTTAGTTGAGATCATAGGGTAGTAGTTTGTGTCGTTATATTTAGTTAAGTTATCTTAGCATAGACGTCGAGGGAGATAGTTTTATGATCTACTCTCGATAGTCACTCCATCACGAGCTCATTTTTTGATTCGCGAGGATGGAGGAAGTTGAAGTGTCTGTATATCTATTATCTTCACTTCAGATATGTTGTAATGTGTTTGTTGTTGTTGTTGTTTTTATCGAAGATATTTAGTTCAAGTTTCTTTCCTTTTTTGATTGATATATACATTTTTCCTTGTTTGATATATAGTTTGCAAGAAAAAAGGTATTTTGTAACAAAAATGACTACAATGCATGGCATAGCAAAAAAAAAACATTCTTTTTTTGTGTTTTTCTTTCCTTTCTTGCTCCTCTATAAATAATAATAATAATGATGTGATAGAAACACCTTTAAATTAAATATGGTAAAGCAAGTTCTCCCCACCACGTTTTTACAGGACCAATATCATTAGTATATGTGTAGAATGGAGAGGCAAATTTATACTAAAATTGGTGATCCACGTGAATTTACGATGTTTTCGTTAAATGAAAAAAATTGTATGAGGTGAAATAATTTCAGATAGTGTGGTGTTTGAAGATACTCTTGACAATGCCTAATGTTCAGAGTTTCATAGGTATAGTCACGTAAATTTTGTAATCATTTTATTCAAAGTTCATATACATATGACTAAAATTCAACTATTTTTACACGTTTTGTCGAACCTAGCTTTAGATATCATGCGTGTGAAGTTATACTCCAAAATGGGTAGACATGCAATTTAAAAAAAAAAAGTACATAGTGAATAGCGATATCCAAATACGACACCCACAAGATTTCTTTTTACAAAAATATCTGAATGTATTTGGAACTGCATTCACCTCTCAAAGGGGTCGTTTAGTAAGATGAAATCTCTCACGATTAAATTTAAAATTCCATTTATATTGTATATTGATTGATGGTATAAATTTATTAGAAGTGGCTCAAGTGTATTAATGGCGTAAAGCAAAAATTAAACGGGGTCTTAAACTTAAATTGTTAATAATTTTTACTTAATCTCTTTCTTCTAGGTTTCATCTCATAATATAACCATTTTTATTTTTAATTATTTTTCATAAGATATAGTACTCAAAAATTTTAAATTTCTTCTAATAATTCCTTCATTTTTCATGAAAGTTTTACTTTTTCTACAAATAGTATTCAATATTTGTTAAAAAATAATAACTTATAACCTATTATTACAAAAAATGAGGTCCCTTAAATTTGAGGTCGTAAAACACATGTCTTTTTTTAACACTGTCGAGCCACCCTTGAAATTCATCCCAAAAGCAAATTTGAAATTATTTTATCCCATCTTTACGATGGGATAAACTAGTCCAAGAATTATGATCCCAAAATAATTTAGTCCGCATACAAAGCTGACCCCTAAAATCTTAAATACGACCCTATTGATAAACATCAGGTGAGATAAACTAGTCCAAGAATTATAATCCCAAAATAATTTAATCCGTATACAAAACTGACCCCTAAAATCTTAAATCCGACTCTATTGATAAACATCACTCAAAGAGTCTATAGCCAAAAAGCAGATATTTTTTTTTAGATTAACCAAAACAAAGAAGTCAATCCATTTAATAATATGTGATTAGCATGCTTTTTAATCCTTAATTATGTTGTTAATTCATTGAGTAGGGGCCCAGTAGCCGGCCCATGAAATCATCTTAATTAGGACAACATCAGTTATAGCCTGTGATGAGAAAATGATATGTTTTAAAATTGTCAACAAATAATAATATTAAAAAAAAAAAAAAGAACAACAAAAATATCTAAAATGTTTTGGTTGGATTAGATAGCAACAGATTACGTTAAGTGGTCCATAATTAGCTTAGAACTAAAGCATATGAACAAACAATTGATGTCATGGAGCGGCTGCAAACCGATTATCTTCACTAATTTTATATTAATTCCACTCTAATTTAATAATCACCATCAAGCATGGCTAATTATCCTTTTAATATATGCTTTAAAATATGAATTTGACTTATATACATCAATAGCATATTATCAGTACATCTTAATCTATTACCAATCAAGGATCGATTTATCGGCCCGTAAATAAATAAATTCATGAAAACTCAGTAATTTTTGTCCATCAATGGATGATGTGTTATTTGATCTCGTAGTGTAGTCTTGAATAATCCTCATTTTATGAGTTAAATCTTGGGTTGAGTTGGATGGGTGACGGTTTATTTGATCTGGTAATATAATCCATAAGCGGCTCAAGCGTATTAGTGGCCTAAAGCAAAAATCAAACGGGTCCTTAAACTTAAATTGTTAATAACTTTTATATAACTTTTCTCATCTAGTTTTCACCTCATAATATAACCAGTCTTATTTTAAATTATTTTTCATAAGATACAGTACTCAAAATATGTTAAATTTCTTCTAATAATCCCTTCATTTTTCATGAAAGGTTTACTTTTTTATAGATAGTATTCAATATTTGTTAAAAAATAATAACTTATAATCTAGTATTATAAAAAATGAGGCCCCTTAAATTTGGAAGCCTAAAGCACATGTTTTATTTTGACACTGTCGAGCCACCCCTGATATAGTCTTACGTCATAATTTGAAGTTTATGGTTCCAATAACAACCTTCAGTTAAATATATTCACAACTACTTAATACGTTGTTGTAATATTTACTCATAGACTTTAAATTTTGACTCCGCCCATATTATCAATTGTAGTTATCACAAGATGAAAACAGATTTGACTTAATCCCTAAGAATTAGCTCGTAAAGTAAACGATTATCAAGATTATATTACGAGATCAAATAATTTATCACCTATTGATGTGGAAACTCAACACCCAATCACCCGTTCACATGGGAACTTAACGACGTTGTATAGTCCACTGCATGGACAATATAAGATAATGTTTTGATATCGCCTAAATCATTAATTGTGATAGACCTAACTCAATGAAGAAATTCATATTGAATAATATAACTCAGCCTCAAAAAATATTCAAAAATTAAAACTATATAAGAAAGATTAAAATAACCCATCATCCATCAATATCACCTCATTAAACAATCAGTTATTGCAAACTCTAAATCACTTCATTATACTATCAACATATAAAAAAAAATTAAACTCTGAATAATATACACAATAGATGTTAACATAAGATTGTGTATTTACGAGAAATGACAAAAACAAAATCCAATTAAGACACGGCGATATGATTTTGATGTTAACACAAGCTTCTACTTTATTCTACAATCAATCATATCCATAAACATGGGACTATGTTTATTTAAATTACTGACTTTGTTTTCGTTGTGATTTTTTTTATTTTTTCTTACAATTATTGTATTTTTGACAAGATAAACGTTGAGAAGAATTAATTAGAAATATTCAAAGTCCACAATATTGTGATAGAAAAATACTGTTCAAAGAACTTGTTCTGCAAGGGAATAATAATGTGTCATCAGAGAAGTCATCCTAAAATAACTCCAAAAAATAAATAAGTTAAGACTCGAGACATGAAAAGTGAAAATTAAAATAAATGGAAGGGAAAATTTAAAGTTTATATTATAATTTTTTTTACGACAAGGGAAATCCGCAGTCGCAAACCCTTTTGAGTGCGCACAGGGTAAAATCCCGCTCCTATGCAATAGCTTGTAAACCACATAGGAGAGGTAACCCGAACTAGACAAGCCTGGTGCGACGAACTCGACCCAGAAGGTTAACTTGGTAAATCTCCCTGATTATTAAATTTGATACAATGGTTAGACTTGGGTTTTCCTTTTCTCACTTAACTTAACTTCCACTTGACATATCTAAGACTTTCAATAGCACACTCTCCTTGTTATCGAAGTTCACTACAAAAGTTGGACTATTCCTTCTGACATTGACCCTCCCCAATCTTGCTAACCGTGAGGTCCTAGTCTTTCAAGATTTAATCTTTTCCCTTCCAATCCCAGAAAAACACTCTTATTGTAGGAGGTTTAGTCTGTCCCCAACTTTTCTTTATTAAAATAATAGGTTGTTTTCCACAGTAAGATTAAGATCGTAAAATTAGAAGCTTGTAATATAGGTAGACCAAATTCAATAAATGATACTCCCTCCATCCTTTTTTACTTGTCCACTTCTGAATTGACATACCTATTAAGAAAATAATTAATGACGTAGTGACTTTACTATCTATTAATTGTGAAGTGGATAAATTAAGATTTTCAATAAGTTCACCTTTTCCAAAGCAATTAATTGAGGGTATAATAGGTAAAAGAAATTGTTCTTTCTTGATTGGTCAAAATGGACAAGTAATAAGGGACAACTATAAAAGGAAAAGTGGACAAATATATATAATTCTATGATTGGTAAATGCCTAAATGGTAAATATCCAAGGGCCTTTATAGTTCTTTGAGTCTTAGTTGGACCTTTTTTTCTAATACAAATGTAGGCCTCTTGATATTTTGGCCCAGCCCACTTCTACCAGAAGATGCTACCACTAGTAACAAAATAAATACTCTACTAAAATATCAAATGGGAGAATCCAAACTCAAGCATTGATTGGCTAGAAGAAGCTGACATGGCATCTCTAGATTACCATCTTATCCTTGCCCCAAAACCCAAATATCCTTTTAATCTGATTTTCCTTTACAAAAGCCCACAAACCCCAAGATCATTCCAGAACCCACCACCCCAAACCCCCAACCACACCTTCTTAAGCAGAGTGTTGTAACAAAGAGTTGAGTGAAAAAATCATTAGGTGCAAAATGGCTCTACAAGCAGCATCTTTGCTTCCATCTGCATTTTCTCTACACAAAGAGGTAAAAGTTGCAAACTTTTCACTTAACTAGCTTTAATTACTGACCTGGAAATGATTATCTGAAGCTCAATTGTGGCTGGCAGGGTAAAACATCAAGTGCTAATCTCAAGGACAGTAGCTTCTTTGGAGTTGCATTGTCTTGCAATCTGAAATCTAAATTTACTCCTGCTGCAGGAAACAAGGTATCATAAAAATACAATCTTTGTGTTTAAATCTTTGATTTTAGTAGGCGTTTCGACATGAATTTGATGATATTGGGGGGGGGGGTTTACTTTTGGGATAGTGTTGTTCGGGGCCAGTTTTCGCGCACTTGTTAAAATTTGTATGTCCAAACAGGTCTATAGGGTGCAAGTTGTTAAATAGCAACTATCTACTAAATGAAAAAGTATATTAT